ACTACAAGCTTGTCCCTTGTCACCTCTGCTATACACCTGGGAATTCAGATGATACAAATACACTTATAGGACCACTGTCTGCCAATCCTATAGATGGTTTTGGGTACACTCCAGACTTCATAGACATACCTAATAGTTCAGCCTGTCCACCCATCTATCCACCCATACACCCATGTTTGCCTTCACTGACAACGCAGTACTATATACTCAAGAGGATTCATCTTTGTTGTCTATACCTCCCATATACCTCTCTATGTCTTCCTCTTCCTCAAAGTCACCATGCTGATCACTCACATTTGGTACATTGCCATTCTCTTCATCCAAATCAATACTTATCTCTACCTATCTAACAGTGTTCCCTCCCTTCCCCTCCCATGCCTGGTAACCAACAAAGAAAATTCCCTTCCATATATAAGCCTTTCCTTGATTTTTACAATAACACACTAATACAATGTTTGTCTTTCTGTGATTGACTTATTTCACTCAGCATCATGTTCTCCAAGCTCATCCACGTTATGCAGTGTTTTGCAGATTCTAGGTTATTATTTAAGGTTGCATAGTATTTCATTGTGTGTATGTACCATAGTTTGGTTATCCATTCCTCAGTTGATGGACACCTAGGTTGTTTCCATCTTTTGGCTATTGTAAATAGTGCTGCGATGAACATGGGTGTGCATATGTCTGTTCTTGTCATGGCTTTCACTTCTTTAGGATATATACCTAGTAATAGAATAACTGGATCAAATGGTATTTCTAATTCCAACTTTTTAAGGAATCGCCATACTGCTTTCCATAGTGGTTGTACCATTTAACATTCCCACCAGCAGTATATGAGAGTCCTAATCTCTCCACATCCTTGCCAGCATTTATTTTGTGTCTTGTTGAACTTTGCTGCTAGTGCTGGAGCAAGATGGTATCTCATTGTTTTGATTTGCATCTCTCTAATAGCTAATGATTGTGAGCATTTCTTCATATGTTTGTTGGCCACCTGAATATCCTCCTTGGTGAAGTGTCTATCCATGTCTTCTGCCCATTTTTTTTTTATTAGATTATTTGGCTTTTTGTTATTGAAGTGTTGGAGTTTTCTATAAGTTCTAGAGATAAGTCCCTTGTCAGATATGTTATTGCCAAATATTTTTTCCCAATCTGTAAGTTCTTTTTAGACTCTTTTGGAATCTCCCCCATTTTAGATAGCCAATTTCTAATTTGTCCATTCCTATCAAACTAGTACTCTGAGGAGACAAGCATGTTCCTTTCTCTATGAGGAATCTTCTGTTTTGCTTGGAAACTTTGGGCATCTGCATCCATAAACAAGCAAAATGCAGCCCAATGCAAGCTCTCGAATTGCAACTTAACACTTGCTCAGTGTCAAACATCTTCCTCTTCTTTTGGTCAGGTTCTGGTCAGCTTAGCCCTAGTCATCCCAGCTAGGCCATGCATACCAGCTGTCAAATTTTGGGAGTCACATGCTTCCCTTTACTTCAGACAAGCCAAGACCTTTTTTCTTTCATCCTTAGTCCTCAGGGACTTGCTCCATACAACTCATTGAACTTTAGACTAGCCAGCCCTTCCTCTCAACCCTCATCTCCATTGCCTAGGTCAAAGAATACCAAACTCAGCCCGTTTCTTCATTGCTGCCACTCCCCCCATCTCCACTCAAGTGGACCCAGGTGGTCACAACCAAGCAGCATACAAGGCTTTCTACTTGCCAGCTTCTTTTAACTTCCAGTCCTGAAAGGGGATTCTCTCATGGACTGTGACTTTCCTGCCTTGAAGGATCCAAAGCCAAACTTCTTGCTTGAAATTCAAAAAGCCAATAGTTGTTGTCCCCCCCCCCCCCGTAGGCCCTGCTTCAAATGCAGATCTTCTGTTCTCTCAGTATTTCTGGATGGGGCTCAGGTTTTCTTACCTAAGCCCCCTATACTCTACACACAGGGCTTGAAACAAAAGCCTGTGTTTTTCTGGGCAAATTCTATTTCCTTTTTTAACATATCCAATCAAATATTGGCTGAAAGCAGACTTATACACTCTCTGTTATCCCTACCCAACAATCATTTCTAATGTACAAGTATGTAAGAGATCATTCAATATCCATAGTACATTCAGATGAACACATAATCCTTTTTAAGACATTTCAGTTTCATCTCTTCACCTTGATTATCTTCCCATTCTATGTATATGGCCTTGGGCCTTTGGCTGGGTGTAAGCAAAAGCCCTAGCTTCTGGATCAATTATCTCCTTTAATAGGTAAAACCAACCAAAGTAACCATCTAAGAATCCAAAGTTTCACTTCCCAGGGCCCTTCCTTCTTTCTTTTACAATATCTCATGCTTCTATGAGCCTGGAGCCACTGAAACAAATCTCACTGCTCATGTCTCTTGTAACTGTAGCTTTTCAACTTATAATGCTTTTAAGTTTTCCTGAAAGGATCTCTGATGGTGAGATATATGTAGTCATTCAATACTTGTTTTTCTTGTTTAATTCAAAGCATGATACTACCTGATTGAGTTATCCTGTTTCAATCCCTACAATCACAATTTATAACTGACTCATCTGTCAATTTGTCATACTATAGTGGCTTACATGTTGCTGTAATGGTGGAAACAATGCCACCAATATTTCAAATACTATCAGGATCACCCATGGTGAATGGGTTTCAGCAGAGCTTCCAGATTAAGACAAATTAGTAAGAAGAAAGAGATGATCCACTTTTGAAAAATTAGCTACTGAAAACTTTATAAATGACAGTGAAACATTGTCTGGTATAGTGTCAGAAAATGAGCCCCTCAGGTTGGAAAACACTCAAAATATGACTGGGTAAGGGCTGCCTTCTCAAAGTAGAGGCAACCTTACTGATGTGGATGAAGTAAAGCTTTCAGGATCTTCATTTCTGGAATGACATGATTCAAAATGAGAAGAAAAACCTGTAAACATCCATTAATAACTAGAATCTGGAATGTATAAAGTATGAATCTAGGAAAATTGAAAGTTGTCAAAAATGAAAGAAAGCATGTTAAAATCAATAACCAAGGCATTACTGAGCTGCAATGGACTGGTATTGGCCATTTTGAATCAGAAATCATATAATCTACTGTTCCGGGAATGATAAATTGAAGAGGAATAGCGAGGCATTCGGAGACAAATTTCATTTAATTTCATTTCAAGATCTATACTGAAGTACAGTGCTTTCAGTGATAGGCTAATATCCATATAATTACAAAAAAAAACAGTTAATATTCAAATTTATGCCCCAAATATGAAGAAATTGAAGATTTTTACTAACTTTTGTTGTCTGAAATTGATCAAGCATGCAATCAAGATGCATTGATAATTACTGGTGAATGGAAAGTTCGAAATGAAGAAGCATGGGTAGTTGGAAAATAGGGCCTTGGTGATAGAAATGATGCCAAAGATCACATGATTGTATTTTGCAAGACCAATCATTTATTCATTGAAAACACTTTTTTGCAACAACATAAACAGTGACTATGTACAGAGACATTACCAGATACACAGTACACAGGAATTAAATTGACTACATCTTTGGAAAGAAACAATGACAAAGTTTAAAATCAGGAAAAGTGTGTGTCAGGATTGTATCCTTTCACCATAGTTATTCAATCTGTATGCGGAGCAAATAATCTGAGAGGCTGAACTCTATGAAGAAGAACGCACTATCAGGATTGGAGGAAGACTCATTAACAACCAGTGATATACAGATGATACAACCTTGCTTACTGAAAGTGAAGAAGACTTGAAGTACTTACTGATACAGATCAAAGGCTACAGCCTTCAGTATGGTTTATACCTCAACATAAAACAGAAATCCTCACAACTGGAGTAATAAACAGCATCATGATAAATGGAGAAAAGACTGAAGTTTTCAAGGATTTCATTTTTTTTGGATCAACGCCTATGGAAGCAGCAGTCAAGAAATCAAAGAAGTGTTGCATTGGGCAAATCTACTTCAAAAGACCTCTTTAAAGTTAAAAAGCAACCTAACCCAAATAAGGAGCTCTGGTAGCATAGTGGCTAAGGCACTTGCCTGCTAACCAGAAGGCTGGTGGTTCAAACCCACCAGCCACTCCTCGGAAGGTACTGCCTCGGAAACCCAAGGAGGGGTCACTATGAGTCGGGCTGACTTGATGGCAAACAACAACCCAAACAGTTATCTTTTCAATAGCCTTATATGCATGTGAAAGCTACACATGAGATACATTTGAATTGTGGTTTTGGGGAATAAATCTCCCTTGGAAGAACTTGGCAGAACTTGTTCAGTACTGTTAGTGCATGTACTTCACTAACTTTAATTATGGAAGAAGATACTCTCAATAGCTCCTTAGAAGTGAGAATGGTCTGATTTCGTCTCTATATATTTGGGTCGTGTTACTCAGAGGTTTCAGTCTCTGGAGAAGGATATCATTCTTGGTAAAGCAGAGGGTCAGTGAAAAAGAGGAAGACCTTCAACGAGATGGATTGACACAGTGGCTACAACAATGGAATCAAGCATAGCAACAACTGTGAGGATGGCACAGGACTGGGCAGTATTTTGTTCCATCCTACACAGGGCACTAGGAGCTGGAAATGGCTCCACAGCACCTAACAACAACAAACCCTATTATCTCTCTGTTAACACTCTTGTGTTAAGATATAAAGTCATGATCTGATAAGTTCACAGTATTGTTATGTCCATCTTCCAAACAGATATATGTTCTAATCTAAAGTGTTCTTGACTTCAAAATACAAATGATCCTTAATTAACTCTGCATTTAACTTTTGAAAGTGTTTCATTTAAGTTGGAGCAAATGACAGCTTTGCTATGCACAAAACCACTTGCTTGTTACTCTCTGTACAATTATGTTAATTATATTTTTTAAAAATCCCCAGAGGCTTCAAATGTAAACTAAGGGCCAATATGTAGTTGCTATTAATTGCAATTAATATCAGCTATTTGTGTATGCATTTCTCTCTCTCTCTCTCTTTTTTTTATTATTTTACAGTTACATTTCAGAGAGGAGATGGAGGACTAATGAGCAATGGAAGGTATGCTAAACATTTTTATTTTTAATCAGGACTGGAGAATTTTATAGTAAGAGGCTATTATTGTAATAAATGATCACTTATAAGTCTGAGAATTCTAGGAGGAATTAAATGGCTTACCACAAAGTTTAATGATCTATCTTTTGTGCACTTTAGAGGAATCAAGTCCAGATGTTTCATATCTCCCAGATGCCCCTAAAGAAATTAGTAGTAAATATCACAAGGAATGTGTTCATTTGTTAGCAGGATGTTTATTGCATTAATTAGACATTAGCAAATGAAGTTGCTGTTGTTTAAGACTCCTTATTGGCTCTCCCTAAATTGCTGTGAGTGAACAATTACACATAATCGATCACAAAGTAAATGATTCATGGATGATGAATAGGCTGTAGATTGATAGGACTGGATTCCACAACTTTGGATACTCAATTGAAATTGATAAAAACAGATAATAAACCCATATATCCTCATCTATTTTCCCTTTGCCAATATGGAGATTGTAATTAGGCTCTGGTAATAACTTCCAATCTCCCATTTAATCAATATTGTAGCAAAAAGAGATTAGGCCTAATGAGAGCTATTGGATGTAGCAAGAAATAGGTTGGATCTTCTTACTGCAGTTTCCATAGAAACACGTTTCTCTTAGGGATAGTACCAGAAGGGATCTATCCAAAAAAAAAAAAAAAAAATAGTACAATGTTTATAGATGTTGCTATTACTTTGTAAGTATGCTAATAATCTGGAAAGGAATCAAAATATCATCTTTTATATTAAACATGGGAATTCTATTAAATATGATATGAATGAAGATTTCCGCATGGATGTTATTTACATATTTGATTGGATCATAAGGGATCTTTTATTATCGTAAACAATTTGATATACTCTTGATATTTTGCAATTTAAACAACTTGGAAATGTGCTACTGATGGGACAATATTAAATATAGGTACTGTTCATTAATTTCCCTCAAATTCCTTGCCTCTAAATCAAGCATGAAGGCTCATAACAGAGGTTATAGCTTATAGGGGACAGATACATATTGGAACTTGGAGAATTGAGGAAGCAATAGCCCTAAGTCCTAGAAATGGCTGACACTGAGCAATCACTGTGAACAATTATTCCTTTGAGGTAGCAATTTGTCATCAAGGCTTGTTTTGGGATCCCACTACGCTACTGTCGATTCCCACCAATTTCAATTCAGACAACTGAATTCATTTGGATGTTCACAGAATCCCAGACAAGGATGCTGTCCTTCCCATGATAAGGTTGATCTATATTTAATGGTAGTAAACTGCTGAAATAGTTTAATTCTTGAGATACCCCATATTATAAGATGAAGTATATTAAAATGTTAAATTCCTTAATCCTTCTTAGTACTTGTGACTTCAATAAAGTCAATCTCTCATTGAGTTCCCTTGACTGATTTCTTTTTTCTTTCTATTTTAGCCGTCCAGGACTTCTAAATGCTGCTGATCCCAATTATCCATGGCTTGCTGATTCCTGGCCAGCCACAAGCTTGCCCGTGAACAATAGCAATAGTGGCCCAAATGAGATTGGAAATTTTGGGCGTGGAGGTAAGTGATGTTTTTGAAAATTGTTTATTTATTTATTTGGCTTTCCCAGAATTTTTTTTTTTTTTTTTTTTCCAGAAAAGAACATATTGAGAGTATTTTCTTCTATAATAAAGTTAATGAAGTACATGTACTAACAGTACTGAGCATTTGCTAAATATTTCAATATAAAGGTATTGTGTTTATGTTATTGTGAGTAAAACCAAGCTTTTAGGAAAGTCACTACTAACAAAGAAGACAGATTCTCTGAATATACTTTATTTTTAGGAGGTATACTATACTGATTGGGAGCTCTGGTGGCATAGCACCTAAGGCATTTGACTGGTAACCAGAAGGCTGGCAGTTCAAACCCATCAGCCACTCCTTGGAAGGAAGGTTAGGCAATCTACTTCCATAGTGATACTGCCTCGGAAACCCAAGGAGGAGTCACTATGAGTCAGATCCAACTCAGCAGCAGTGAGTTTGGTTTTGATACTATACTGATAACTAGGACTTATGATTTTGAACCTGTTGTTTCACTTCTCTAAGTCTCATTCAAAATATAGTTGAGTACCTGCTGTATACCTGGCACTATGACAGGCAATAAGAATATTGATATGACATGGTCTTTACCTCATGTAATATATGAAGGAGTAGACAATTAAATAACTATAAAAAACATGCTGAGAGAAAGTTAATCTGCAATTCCACAATTGATAACTGATATCCAAAATGAAAGAAATAATGATACTAAATAGCTGACATGCTATTACTTCCAAAATGTGGTGCCAGATACCTCTCCATAGATCCTTACCAGGAAACAGAATTGGACCTACTATAAATAACAACCATATCACCAACTTCCCCTTTTCAACTTTCTTCCAGTCAATGACAGAGAGAAGGGTTTAGAAAAAGATAGGAGTAGAGAAGCTTTTGGTCCCAGAGTTTGCCTTGATGAGCATAAACGAGTTTTCCATTGGTAAAAGACTGTGCAAACAATATATTGACTTCAGCTGCCTTGCTAGTACTGCGTATAGGAAGGCTACTCAAGAATAAGAGAGCTTCATAAAGAGAGAGCTATTGAATATCTGAAGTGTAAGTAGGAATTAGTTACAAGTGTGAAAAAAAAAAAGTGTGGGGAAGAGAAGCTACCATATTTTAGGTCCAGAAGAGAGAGATTGACTTATTTGAGAAAATTTTTGAATGTTCTCATCATTTGAATATGAAATGCAAGGCAGCAGAAGTGGTGAGAAATAGAGAGGTACAGGTAACAATCCAACTTTTAAGCTACTTATAAAGGGAAATTGAAGGCATTAATGGATTTTAAGAGGCGAATGATGGGATCCATGTACTGCTTTAGGTCATTCCTTCTACTGCTGGATAGAGAACGGAGATAGATTAGAAACCTGGGGAGACTGATTAGGAGAGTAGTGGTGTAATCTAGGCACATTTGGATGGAGCCACTGGAAGATTTATGCACTTGTAGGGAGAATTAATGCAGACAGTGCAGAGCTAGGCTAAATTACCAAATAACTGTTTCTACATAATCATCTATGAGGAGAAATAGATGACTCTATATATGGGCTTATGTTCTGGTTACCTAGTGCTGCTCTGACAGGAAACATACCACAAATGCGATGGCCTTAACAAACAGGAGTTTATTCTCTTACAGTGTGGAGGCTTTAAGTCCAAGTTCAAAGTGCCAGGCTCTAGGGGCTGGGTAAAAGCCCCTCAACCTTGGGGTCTAGTTCTGCCTCCTGCTCCCGGCCCACTGGAGCTAGAGGCGTTTCTTCACTCAGACAGCTGCTGGCTGCTGAGGCTGAGAAGCCCCAAGGTTGACAAGTAAAAAAGGAACAGTCCCGATGTTACCAATCCACATGGCAGGCCATTAACTTAAGTCCATTGTAAGTCCCAAGGTTGGCAGAGCATAGCAGGCTACTGAGCAATGACACTGGTACATGCAGGGTCTAAGTGTGCCATAAGCTAGAGACTATTCCCAAGACTTCTCCTTATATACAGGGAGCAGATCTCATCCCAAAGGCAGCTACTCAACTGCTTGTGGTAGATCCCACTATGGAGTTGATTGCCAGTCTCATCATGGGGAATAACTACCACCAGCTGCCGAGCCACTCAACCAGGCCCAGCCAAGTTGACACACAAACATAACTACCACAGCTTAGTTTAGAGCTTCACATATAGTCAGTGCCCATAGGCCTCCGGTAAGTAAATGAAAGAAATAAAAGTATGACTCATTAGCATCCAGCTTCCCCACTGTAAGCCAGTACCCCCATGTGGTAGTTAAGGTTATATGTCATCTTGGCTGGGCCTGGTTTTGAGTGGCTGGGCAGCTAGTGGTGGTTATTCCCCATGATGAGACTGACAATTGGCTCCATGGTGGAATCTACCACAAGCAACTGAGCAGCTGCTTTAGGAATGTAGTCTGCTTCCCATATATAAGGAGAAACTTTGGGAATAGTCTACAGCTTTTTGGCATGCTTGGACCCTGCATGTAGCTGATTCATTGTTCAGCAGCCTGCCATGCTCTGCTGATCTTGGGACATTTCATAGACTTGAATCAATGGCTTGCATGTGGTTTGGTAATATAGGGACTGTGCCTCTTTACTTATAGACCTTGGGTTTGTCAGCCTCAGCAGCCAGCAGCTGCATGAGTGAAGAAAGCCTCCAGCTTCTGTGGTCTGGGAGCAAGGGGCAGAGCTGAAGCCCAAGGTAGAGGGGCTTTCACATAACTCCTAGAGCCTGGTACTTTGAACTTGGACCTCTGGCCTCCAAAACTGTAAGAGAATAAACTCCTGTTTGTTCAAGCCATTCCACTGTGATATTTTCTGTTAGAGTGGCACTAGGTAACCAATATATCTTGCATGTAGGCTTCTTACTTGCTCAGGGTCTCCCCTAGATGACCAGACTCTGCCACTATGTTCTTACTCTCTACTGGCTAGGTCTGTATCAGAGAATCTCCCTACTGGGAAACTAGAGCATCCATCCCCCTCATCTCTACCCAAACTAATTTTGTCAAAGGAATTCTGTTCTGATGCTTTTTTATCAACTAAGTAATAGCTGCTGCTTTTATTTGTTGTGTATGAATTGGAATAGCACATCTTTCCATCTTTATATCAAGAAATAAACACCAAAATATGGAAGTTCCCTCACCACCAGTTTCTAGCAGGCTACTCTAACATCTAAAATGTCTCTGTCCAATTAACTATAGCTATATTTAGCTAGGGAGCTCTGGTAGCATAGTGGCTAAGACACTTGCCTGCTAACCAGACAGCTGGTGGTTCAAACCCACCAGCCACTCCTTGGAAGGAAGGTTGGACAATCCTACTTCCATAGTGATACTGCCTCGGAAACACAAGGAGGGTTGCTATGAGTCGGGTTTGACTCGACGGCACATAACAACAACAACAACAACATATTTAGCCATATTTGTAGATTTTCAAGATTTTTCTTCCATTACCATCTCTTGAATACCAAGGCCAAGCCAAAATTTTTGCAAGGTTTACTATATCTCTTCTCACTGCCTTTGCCATTTGCCAGAAATACTGATAGTTCTTTTTTTTTTTTTTTTTAATAAATTGTATTTCATTGCCTTTGCACTGTGAATAAATGATGTCATTCATCATATTTTCATTTTAAAGATCAAGAATAAGGTTTACTTAGATGAATAATTTGTATATCTGGATGTATAATACAGATCTATCTTATTTTAAAGATGGGGCTTTTGTTGTTGTTGCTTTGTTTGTGTTTGGTTTTTAATCTGTACTACTGTACAGCTCTAAAAGTATATTTCATATGAATGGCTATGTAACCATATTGTTTTCAAAGAATCATCAAGGATACTAACATTTTCTCTTTAAGAATGGAATGCCAATACATGTTGAAATGTAATAAAAATAGTATTTTGAATAATAAAATACTAATTATTGCAAAGTCTACTTGCAGCCAATACAAACTATAACACTTTAACTCAGCCATTCAGTCAATAATTGCTTATTCTCCTCAAAACATGGGTTGAGGAATTATGGGCATACAGACATGAATCCCATATACTCCCATCCTCAAAAATCTTAAGACACAGTGAAAGAAGCAATCACGCATACAAGTGATTAGACAAAAAAAGAAACAAAGCCGTGAGGACAAGTGTAAGTAAGGTGGTGAATGACTATGGAGTGAACCATGAGTAATTCCAACTGGAAGGAAGTGTTTCATGTATATCAGGGGTTTCTGACTCCAATTCTGATAAGGGCTGATTGCTATGAAATTGTGTGTGGAACCTGTGGAAAAATAGAAAGTCCTGCCTAACAATGGCAGTACAAGCTGTTGGGAGGAAGGTCAGCCCAGATTTCCAAACTATATGATGTTATAGGACACAAACCCACTTCCAGATATTCAAGTAAAACCTCCTAATATATCAATGTTGAGATATAATTGAATTTAATTTTTGAAAATGTGGGAGTTACCAAGTTATATTGGAAGGGAATATGCAGCACAAATATCAGTGTAGAAGCATCTAGACTTGAAGGATGTCTTTATATTCATCCAGCAGGGATAGAAAGATTCTGTTTCCAGGGCTGTAGCTTTAGTTGTTTCACAGTAAAATTACTTAAGAGTAGTTTTTGGACTACTTCTTTATATTTATTTACTTTTGAGCATGCAGCCATTTCAAAAACTTATGGTGAAGCAACTCACAATCTGAAATCTAGAGTTGTTGTGGTTGTTATGTGCCATCGAGTTGGACCTGACTCATAGCGACCCCTCCTTGGGTTTCTGAGACAGTATCACTATGGAAGTAGATTACCCCATCTTTCTTCCAAGGAGTGGCTGGTGGGTTTGAACCTCCAGCCTTCTGGTTAGCAGTCAAGTGCTTAGGCACTATGCTACCAGAACTCCTGCTTCTTTCTATTTATTTACTTTTGAGCATGCAGCCATTTCAAAAGCTTATGGTTGAAGCAACTCACAATCTGAAATCTAGAGTTGTAGAGACCCTCAAATCAAGGTGTTGGGAAGCTAGGGTCCATGTTACAGAAACATTTTATTCACTTTAATATTCATCAGCAAAAAACATGGAGTAGGAGGGAGAACCCAAACTGTGAAATTTCCCCCGGATGCAGGATCTCTTTTCACCTATTTTGATATACTATTAAGAGCTTTGGAAAATGAAAATGACACTAACACTTCAAAGTGAAACATCTTCAATGCCTAATTTTGTATTTAGTATGTGGCTAAAGAAAGAAGGCAAAAAGAGTAGTTGTGAAATTCTTGAAGTCAGAAAACAATTTTATGTGTTTATGCATCTTAAGGGAGCTCTGGTAGCATAGTGCCTAAGGCACTTGACTGCTAACCAGAAGTCTGGAGGTTCAAACCTCAGAAGGAAGATGCGGCAATCTACTTCCATAGTGATACTGCCTTGGCAACCCAAAGAGGGGTCGCTATGAGTGGGGTCCGACTCGACAGCACTTAACAAGAACAACAACATGCATCTTAAAGAAATTTATGCATTTGAATATGTTTCACTATCTCACTTGTATGCATTAAAAAATTACTTCAATAAAATATTGTTGTGTTGTTGTTGTTATGTGCTGTTGAGTCAGCCCTGACTCATAGCGACCCCTCCTTGGGTTTCCAAGGCAGTATCACTACAGAAGTAGGATTACCCAACCCTCCTTCCTAGGAGTGGCTGGTGGGTTTGAACCACCAGCCTTCTGGTTAGCAGTCAAGTGCTTTAGGCACTATGCTACCAGAGCTCCTCAGTAAAATATTAATTAACTTAATTGTGAAACAAGTTTGAAATTCATACTGCAAAATCTTCAGAAGGACTTATATATACTATGTACAGAATGCAATATACATTTCTTGTCATGGTAATTAAAGAAGATTTTTAAAACCTTTTTAAAGTATAAAAATAAAACTATTATTTTTATAAGAATTCTTATTCCTAGTACTGCTATACCCATAAACTCTAAAACTCCCAGGGTATATTTACAAAGTCCCTACTTTATTTTTTGCTAATGATAAACTGGACTTTTGTACTACAATATTTGATTTACTTAACATTTCAGTACTATAACTAGTCAAAAACTTCCTATCATGAAAGAGTTTGAAGGATTTGATGATCTCAAGTCCTAAGAAATTAAGCTTTCTAAACCTAGATTTTTAAGGAACATATTATAATTAGATTCACTTTTAAAACTGACTTATAGGAAATAATGTCATTAGGTGATTTGTTTTTTTAAATTCACTTAGACTTTCTTCTGAAAAGTGAAAATAAGAGCTCAGAAGTGAGATGGCAGTTCTGAATTATAAAGCACTATGTAAAGATATTTCAGCATACCAAAATGATAAATGGACTGTTTGATATTCAGTGTTGTTCCTGAAGTTTAATTTTACTCTTGCTGAACTATAATTCTCCCCTTCTAAGAATTGGTAGCATAAATTAAACTCCTTGATCACTAAGATTGCTTTTTCTTTAGTTAAATCCTGCTGTATTGTGTAAAATGATTTATTCATGAAAGTTTCCCTTTGTTATCAAAGGAAAAAAAAAATCATTGAAACCATCAGCTCCATTCCCATATGGAGCTATGCAATCAAATCAGATAATTGACAAGTTAAAGCATCAGAAAAATTTACCTGATAGAGTAGTATAATTTTGGAATTTTTTGCACCTATTCAGCAGTTGTATTCCATGTCTTTGGAAGAAAAGTAGAAAGAAATGCTTTCATCCAGGATTTCTAGATTCACCCTCATCATTGCTTCCGTAAAGTGCTGATAATTTCATTGCTTCTGAAATGGGGTGAACAACTGAAAGCATTGTTCGGTAGAGAAATATCCAAAACTTATTTTTTATGGTTGAAGAAAATGGGGAAGGGGTGCTTTAAACAGTGAGACATGAAGGACTTGTGGTAGGTCTGCCTGTCACTGAGACTGATAGCTTGGTGATGGTTGTATATCATCTACCCTTCATTGGCTCATGAAGCCCATCTCAGCTAAAATGCAAACGTGTGACATAACACATTTATTTTTCATCTTCAGTGCTGATAGTTTGGGATTCCTGTGCATCATTAAATTGTTTCATTTCCCTATGTTCACCACAGATGTACTGCCACCAGTTCCAGGCCAAGGGGATAAAACAGCAACAATGCTCTCAGATGGAGCCATTTATAGCAGCATTGACTTCACAACGAAAACCACTTACAACAGTTCCAGCCAAATAACACAGGCTACCCCATATGCCACAACACAGATCTTGCATTCCAATAGCATTCATGAATTGGCTGTTGATCTGCCTGACCCACAATGGAAAAGCTCAATTCAGCAAAAAACAGATCTGATGGGATTTGGTTATTCTCTACCTGATCAGAACAAAGGTAACAATGGTAAGTCAGTTTCTTGTTTCCTCAGGAGTTATTTTCATATCATTTGTGCATGAGATAGAAATTAGTATTTGTTGTTTGACAGTGATTCATTACCAGGTTTACTACTTAAACTAAAAAATAAATAAACTGGCATGTATTCAATACCTTGTACAATCCCTATCACCGCCACCACCACCTCCACCACAGCCGCTGCCACCACACACCAACACCAATCATGCTTGCAGCTCTTTTTCACTATAGTGATCAGCACTCCATCTCTACTTCCATTAGGATAGGGTAGACAAAACATTCCTCCACTCTCCCACGACATCTGCTTCTGAGTTGCTAACTGCATGTTCTGCATGGGCTTGTGCTGTGAACTAATCACATGATGCCACTATGACCTTTGCCCTTTAACCTTTAGCCTTACTTTACATCCCTGACTACCGATTGGCTGAGGGATTGTCTAATAGAATGCCACACAACCAGTCACAGGATTTCAGCACCACCAGCTCTCACAACAGCTCAGAAAGGAGTGGCAGTCTCTCAGGTTGGTCTCATTACTGTAAGGAGAAATATTTGTTTGTCATCACATATGACCTGTGTTCCTAACAATCATGAAGAAATACCGAATCACAACTCACTGTCAGGCATTTATCTTTTCAACAACAACAGTTCATTCTAATGAAATATTGCTTTGGTGGGAAGGATAAAAATCAGTCTCCCTTATGCACTAACTGTACAAGAATGCCTTTAGAAAAAACTGCTATTGTATTACTAATAATTAATATTAGTAGCATTTAATGAATAGTAAATACCATTCATTGAAGAGCAAAACAGTTTGATCTGCCTTGAACCTTATTTACAGGTCAAGAGACGTTTATAATAAGCACGCACATGAAAGTTAAGTTCCATGGCATGGACACAAAAAGATGCATTTAAATAAAATGCAAATGATTTGGGAGATTTTTTTTGTAATACTATATTTTTAATGATATGGCTCCCTATTTCTTGATATATATTTCCAGATTTCCATATAATAGGATTTATTATCAGTTAACTGATTATGTAGTGTGTGGTGCTGATAGTGTGCCAAAAAAGAATGTTAATATGGGAAATTATTGTGAAATTTTAATTAAAAAACACATACAGTCATTGATATTGAAATTTTTCTGTGCTGTAAATGATAATACATATTCAAGATATATCATCCAAAGTAACAATCTATAATGTAACTATTCTATAGAACATATGGTGAAAAACATTTATTACTAAAGAGAAATCTATACCTATCATGATGAGTATCAGTGATATTTTCCAGGTCAAAGATTGTCACCTATAAAATGAAGAGGTTGTAGTAGATGCACTCTAACTGCCAGCCATAGCATTTACATTCCATAACTGATGGCTTTATCTACACATTTCTAATTAACTCCATGACACTATTTGCTTAATCTGTTCAGATTAATGATGAGCTATTTGTTTGTATTGTGGGGGTAATTTTTTTAACTATAGATTCTTAGTAAAGATTATAGTCTATTATGGTATGTCATATGCTACCAGGCATCCAGCACATAAAGAGTTAACTATTTTAGATAATTAGGGTAACATTTAATAAATTACTTTTCCTCAGGAGATAATACCCTCTCAGTCTGAAAATGTTAATGCTTTTTCTTCCCTCCAATGAGCCATTTGCTCTTCTTACCTATATATAAGATTAGATGCATTATAGATTCTAGAAGTTTAAACATCTGTTATGAATTTAAATAGTCTTAATAACATAAGGACCTTTTTGAATGACCTTGTATGTGTTTTATAATTTCATTTATTGATAATGAGTCTCACAGTGTTTAGAATACTTAAAAAGCAATTTATATTGTTTCCTATTTATATAATTTGAGATATGTAAAGTCTCAAAAGCTCTGGTAGCATAGTGGCTAAGACACTTGCCTGCTAACCGGACGGCTGGCGGTTCAAACCCACCAGCCACTCCTCGGAAGGAAGGTTGGGCAATCGTACTTCCGTAGTGATACTGCCTCAGAAACCCAAGGAGGGGTTGCTATGAGTCAGGTTTGACTCGACGGCACATAACAACAACAACAACAAAGTCTCAAAGTACGTAAAGGAACTTATATACTCTAAACCATAGGTTACAGAAGATTTGCTTTGATTGTTTTATTTAAATATTCAGTATAGTCTCAAAAGTTATCTTTAGAATAATTTTAAGGAGAACATGATTCACAATAGTACTTACTGTTTCTCTGAATTCCTTATTCTCCTAAGTGATAGCTATCTGTCTGTCTATCCATCTATGTATCAATCACCCACTGCTGTCAAGTCGATACCAACTTATAGTAACCCCAAAATGGGTTTTGAAGCTGACAAATCTTTATGGAAGTAGATTGCCCCATCTTCCTTCCATATATATATATATGAATTTATGAATTTATTCATATATATATATATGAATTTATGAAATATATTGAATTTACTATTAAAGAGTTTGTTGAATTCTTATAATAATAGATATGTTTTCTAAGACTCAAATTTAATATTAAATTGTCCTCTAGAAATCTAATCATATGTTATGAGATTTTCTTAATTCATGCACAGCAATGAAATCCAATTTAAAATAATCAGTGGTGGAAAAAAAATTAGACAATACTAAGTTTTTGAAACATTTTTATAATTTATTTGATACCTAATTTCTGAGGATTTCTCTTAAAAAAGGGAGCCTTAAAAATATGGAAGAGAACTCACGTGTTTCAATATAATAGCTGTAATCATAGTTATTATATACATAGCTGTTGTTATTGTTGTTATGTGCCGTTGAGTCAGACCTGACTCATAGCGACCCTTCTGGTTAGCAGTCAAGTGCCTTAGGCACTACGCTACCAGAGCTCCTTATACATAGCTAGAGATAGATATACACACATATGTATATATCAGTAACAAGAACAGTTTTAGTCAACAGTGTTTCTTAAGAATAGATACTAAATTTTAGAATGAGTTGTTTCTATAATTTTCTTTACAGAAAAGCCATTTGCTAAGACCAAACCAATGCCAAATTCAAATAGTTACACTTTGAATTACATTTTAGAGGTCAAATATTTTTGCAACTTGTCAAAATACACATCCTTAAAATATAATGCTGATAATTCTCCCCTTAAAGTAATTGATGCTTATTTGGTTATAAGTAACAGCAACAGACTCTGACTCAATTAGGTTCAAGATTCAATATAAAAAGAGTATAATTGACCACTAAGTGATATATGCACGACCATGTTAAGTTCTCCACTTAGTTCATTGTTATGAGAAGGCAAGAGATGTTAATGAATAGTCCTGCCTGGAATCCTGGAGTGGGAGAGCAGGCATTTTCCCAAAATAGGGAAAATTTGATGCTGGATATAAAGCCCATTAATTCCCTCTTTGTTTTTGTTTTTTTGGTAAATTCCCTCTATGGATCAGTAGTACTTCCAAAATGCATTAGTAAGTATGTTCTTTGAACAGCTTTGTTATTAGTTGCATGGAGTAGATGCTGACTGATACCAACACCATGTATGTAAAGTAGAAATGTTCCAGAGAATTTTCAAGGGTGTGAAATTTCAAAAGCAGATTGCCAAACCTGTCTTCTGAGCCATCTCTGGGTGGGTTTGAATTGCCACCCTTCACCACTAGAAGTCTAGTGCTTAACCTTTGGTGATCTCCAAAAGACTAGGAAGAATAGGTAATAGCTTTCTTGAACCGGGGTAAGGGCTTCAATAGAATGAAGCTCAGAATGCCAGAAATAGTAACTCCCAGTAAAGTTTCCATGTTCTGTTCTCTCTCACTGTATGAATGTAGATGTTTTGTTTAACATCCAGAAAGAACTTCAGTTCTTTCATCTTTTATCAATAAAATAGAGATACAAAAGCTTTCCTATCTATGTCACTCAGTTACGATGGTGATCACATACTATTTATAAAAGTGCTCTGGAATTGTACATATAAAGAAGAATTGTACATATTAAGAAGAAAGAAGTTACAAATGGGGGGAAGCTACTCAGGACACATGGCCCAAGTCACTCCTCTATAATCTTGAATTATAGTGCTGATGCTATAAAAAAAGTCCTTGTTTATGATTTTGGTGGGTCATCAGGAAACAAAGGATTAAGGCACATCTATCAGGAAGTGAAAACTCCATGGGTCACAGTGGTCTGATCAGTAACCAGTCATGGGGACAGGATGGCACAGGACCAGGCAGCTTTTTGTGCCATTGTGCATGGGTTCATCATGAGTCAGGTCCAACTGAAAAGCAGCTAACAGCTACAATCTGAAAGACAAAAATTGAAGACTTGCCTTTAAGCACCTTTATTATTCTAATTCTCAGAATCAGGCTATTCTTGGGATGCTCACTGGGCCTGGAAAAGTTGGGCGTGGAGAAGGCTTAATAAAACAGTAGGAAGCTGGATTTGCTTTGAGGGAGAAGAGATGGGAAAGGGAGATAATGACTGGCATTTACTAAGCATTCCTTACATGCTGAGCACTTCACATGCGTTATTTCTTTTAATTCTCAAAATAACTCAAAGAAGTAGTAACATTATAATATCTGTTTTACATATGTGGAAATTTGAGGTGATAGCTACTGATTAACCTATCAAGTTAGAGAAGCTAGTCTTCAATCCCAGAAACCAAGCTGTTAACCTCTGTGCAGAAGATACCTGCTCTGCTTTCTATTAATACTACATATTCTGCCAGAGGTAAGAAGGGGAAAGCGCTGTATTTGCAAGATGCTCTTTTAAATACATGTGTGGGAACTCTGATGACATAGTGCCTAAGGCATTTGACTGCTAACCAGAAGGCTGGTGGTTCAAACAGCCACTCCTCAGAAGGAAGATTGCGCCATCTACTTCTGTAGAGATACCACCTCAGAAACCAAAGGATAGGTCGCCATGGGTCAAATTGACTCCATGGCAGTGAATTTGGTTGTTTTTTTTTGGGGGGGGGGGTCATGTAAGGAGCTCTAGTGGGGCAGTGACTAAGGTATTTGACTGCTAACCAGAAGGTTGGAGGTTCAAATCCACCAACTGTTCCACAGAATGAAGATGAGGCAATCTACTCCCATAAAGATTTACTGCCTTGGAAACCCAATGGGGGTCGCTATGAGCTGGAATCCACTTGATGGCAGGGGGTTTAGTTTTTTTTTTTTATGTGTGTGCATGTATACACTACCTAGAAAAGATACACAGTCAGATAATTGGCACTAGTGTACATGGCTAGTTAAATAGTTTTATCAATTTCTGACCATTGAATAAGGTATTGTTAAGTTGTAGAATTTTATGATTTGGCTGAAACAGATTAGTGATTGGTAGAAGAAGAGAGATGGGCAGACTTCTGTTGCTATTGTTTTTATGTGCCTTTCAGTTGATTCCAATTTATAGTGACTATCGGAACTAAGTAGAACTGCCATATAGGGTTTCTAGGCTGTAATCTTTACAGGAGCAACTGGTGAGTTAGAACTACTGAGCTTTCAGTTAGCAGCTCAGTCCTTAACCATTGTGCCACCAGGGTTTCTAAGTAGACATCTAATGATTTCTATATTACTAGATAGAACTACTACCAGTATTTGATGCTCAGAACTATTATTTCCACAAAGATGAAGTCCAAAGGGTCAATAAAATGTTTTTTTTTTTTTTTGAGCAATAGCTATACTTTGTGATGAGAGTGATAGAATTTACTTTACTTTCCCTAGGAACATCTTTTATCATTCTGCTAAAAAAAATATTCATTTCTGTATCCAACTGTGGTCCATTTCTTTAGGTTCAGCCTTATGTACTTAATTTTGAAAAAGTACAGCACTATACAAAAGACAAACTTTAATTTCATGTATCAACAATTTCTATATTATCATTGATATGGCTCATATGCTGTGGAGTTATGTTTTCTTCATGTTTTGTGCACAAATTCACTTGTATTACAATAGTATTGAAACTGCTTACTGAATATCATTAACTTCTTTCTCTTCATTAGAATTTTATGAAATGTTATGCTTAAAACAACAGGGAACTATTCTCACTATGTGCAAAAATTATTGTACCATGCATTAATTAAAAAGTCTATAAAATGTATCATTGCAAAAGATTTACAACTATTCTCCAGATTGTGGTTGATTGATTTTATCAGTTACTTTTGAGAGGAAATGTTACTCTCCTGGATTAATTAAATTGAATAAATTCTAATGGAAAAGTTTAACCTATATCCTTAGACACTGCATTTTCCACTGAGAGAGATTATGCAAAAGAGCATTATAAATGCACTAAAATCTGACATTTGAAAGAATTTGTTATGGCCCATTATTTTATCTAACAATGAAAATGTGGAAGCAGCAGATATGAATAAATCAATAAATGTGCTTTTGATACAGCAGCCATGATTTTTGTTTATTCGGCTCTGCAATTAATATATTGAGAGAAAAACAATATCATTTTGAGTGATTTATATAATTGTTTTTCTGATTATCTCTTTTTGTTGTTTATAGCTTTTAATAACGTAACATACTAATTCTGGTGTTTTGAAAACAGAAGTACGTCTTCCCATCAAATGTACTCTGTTTGTTCTGATATTCAGTATCTCTGAATAAATGTGTTATTACTTCCAGGTGGGAAAGGTGGAAAAAAGAAGAAAAATAAAAATGCTTCTAAACCACAGAAAAACAATGGATCAACCTGGGCCAATGTCCCACTACCTCCTCCCCCAGTCCAGCCCCTTCCTGGCACAGAGCTGGAACACTATGCAGTGGATCAGCAAGAAAATGGGTAAAAAATATTTATATACCCACAAAATTGCAAGGACTATACTACTCCCATTTGGTGCATTTCTGTCCTTATTTTGTATTCTCTTATTCTCTTTTCCTTGCCCTCCTTTTTTTCCTTTTCCCTTCCACCTTTTTTTTTATTTTTATTTTTGGCTGTAATTTTTTTAACCCTTTTGATTGTTTGAACCATCCATGTATTTTTAGCTGCTAAATACAAAACAGCACATATTGAAGACCTGGAATCCTTGGCCCTCAAGTGCTTTAGATTGTCTGCAATCATGATAATGCAGCCTCCATTTATAATATTGCTTGTTAGTTTGAAAGCAACTACCCACAGCTCTGTGAACTAAAGAGCCACTTCTGAGAAGGGCTGAAAAGGGAATTAAAACAACCTTCTTCATCATCCCTAGCAGTTCTCTAATGACTTTATGTCTGGCCATAGCAGGGCGCCCACTGTAGAGCTCCCTCACAATAGAATAATTATAGGGACTGGGTCAGTGGGTAGGACTTTAATCATCAGCTTTGATGGAAATTTAGGGGCAGGAACAATAAAAGAAGTTCAAGCCAATGCACACTGTAACAAAACTATTTTAAGCTAGAAAATTTCCTTTGAGGGTCTTTGAATGTAACCAGTTTCCTTATACTTTACCAACATTTCACAAGTGTTTGCTTGTTTGTCTTTTCCTCTGTTAGTTTGTGTTACTTGACTTTAAAGCAAAAAGACGTCAATGCTTTTTTATTCTTTACCTTCAAAAAGAACAGTTTGGAAGAAACATACTCAGTCTTTTTAAATTTCTAAATTCTCTGCCTGAGTCGCTGTTCCCAAGTCAACATTTCTTTTGACTGGGCCTTGATGCCACCTAAGAATACAGAGTAATGGCAATTTTTCCTTTTCCACGTTTTCCTTTATATAGAAATATTTAAAGATTTACATTTAAGTAATGGTTTCATTTCCTGTCTTGGCTCACGTAAAAATCACATATACACTCTTGTAAAATTTGTTTCTATTTCTTTTCTGTTTTGATGTCTCCAGAGTAAATTTCCTAACTATATCTTTTGATGTCATAACATTAAAATTCCTCATTTGCCTTTTCTCAGGGTTATGGAATACATACATACATATATACATACATACATATATCTATGGAGCTTTGGTGGCGTGGTGGTTAAGACATTGGCTGCTAACCAGAAACTTGGTGGTTCAAACCCACCAGCTGCTTCAAAGGAGGAAGATGAGGCTGCCTAGTTCTGTAAAGATTTACAGCCTTGGAAAACTAATAGAGGTTGCTATGAGTTGCAATCTACTCGATGGCAGTGGATTTGGTTTGGGTTTATTTATATATGTCTGTCTATAGATATAAATACGTATTGCATTGGGAAAATCTGTTGCAAAAGACCTCTTTCAAGTGCTGAAGAGCAAAGACGTCCCCTTGAAGACTAAGATGTGCCTGACTCAAACTGTGTTATTTTCAATCACCTTATATGCATGTGAGAGCTGGATGATGAATAAGGAAGACTGAAGAAGAGTTGATGGTTTTGAGTTGTAGTGTTGGTGAAGAATGCTGAAAGTACTGTGGACTGCTAAAAGAACTAACAAATTTGTCCTGGATGAAGTGCAGCAAGAAAGCTTCTTGGAAGCAAGAATGGCCAGACTTTGTCTCACCTACTTTGGTCATGTTGTCAGAAGGGACCGTTCTCTGGAGAAGGATGTCATGCTTGGTAAAGTGGAGGGTCAATGAAAGAGGAGAAGGCCCTCAACAAGATGGATTGACATGGTGGCAAAGGCGATGTGCTCAGATATAGTAGAGATTGTGAGGCTGGCACAGGACCGGGCAGTGTTTCGTTCTACTGTACACAGGGTCACTATGAATTGGAGATGACTTGATGGCACCTAACAACAACAACAACAATCTCTTTCTCTCTATATATATACACATATACACACACATATATATACTGTATATATGAATTGTGTATATACATAAGGAGTCCCGGTGACAGAGTGATTAAGCTCTCAGCTGCTAACTAAAAGGTCAGTGGTTTGAACCTACTAGTTGCTCCACAGGAGAAAGATATGGCATTCTGCTTCTGTAAAGATTACAGCCTTTGTTAGTCCAAGGGACTAGTGGACCATGCAGACCTCAGCCTACTTGACCATGATTCAAGAAGAACTAGATGGTGCCTGGTTACCATTGTCAACCACTGGGAAAAGGATCAACCACTGAGAAAGGTATTCCAAATGGAGTATCTCCACAGGTATATGGTTAGGATCACAATACATATTTTGAGGGGCCTCAGTTCATACAATTGTTGTATGCCATAGAGTAGATTTGGGACTCATAATGGCCCTATATGACAGAGTAGAACTGCCACATGGGTTTTCTAGTCTTTAATCATTATGGAAGATTAAAAAGTCTTTCCTCCCACAGAGCAACTGATGGGTTAATTCAATACGTAACAGCTGTTAAACATCTGTAAGCATAAAGTCGTGAATTCAGATCACATGAGAATTGTTGGTAATTTGCAAGTCTTTCCTTTCTTTTTTAAACTGCTGAGTCTACTTAGAAAATAAGTAAACTGTAATTATGCTTATTACCTATTGAAATAAAACTACTTCAATCAAAATAAATACTTAATTTCTCACCTGATTTTATTAGGCAGCAGAAGAATTGGAAATATTCATTTTATGGGTGAAGTGATACACATTGCCACTTTTTTTTTAACATTTTTTTTTTCAGAATGATAAGATACAAAATAAAAGTATTTTACGTATTTTGGCATCATGAATTATTTTCATATTCAGCCAGAATATATATTAGAAATTCTTTTGTCTATATTCCCTAAAATATCATTTGATATTTTAGATAGTCTATATATATATATTTGACTATTTCAAATATATTATGAATTTTATATTTATATAATATATATTTTAAATTATATACATATATAATATTTATATATGTATTTTATATTATATCATTTTTCCAGCAAGTACTAATACTTAAAGCAAATAAAAATTCAACTACATGACACAAAGACTTTGATTCAAATTTTTACCATTGCTAAGAAGTCTTGAGCAGAATTCAACATCCTTATTCTTTGGGTTCAGTTTATTATTATTATTTATTTTTGTAGTGTTCCCTCCCCTCCCCACCCACCCCTGATAAGCAACAAAGAAAGTTTTTTTTCATATATAAACCTTTCCATGACTTTTTACAATAATGAAGTGATACAATATTTGTCCATCTGTGATTGACTTATTTCACTCAGCATAATGTCTTCCAAGTTCATGCACATTCTGCGGTGTTTTGCAGATTCTACATTATTCTTCAGAATGTTGCATAGTATTCCATTGTGTGTGTGTGTGTGTATGTACCACAGTTTGCTTATCCATTCTTCTGTTGATGGGCACCTAGGTTGTTTCCATCTTTTTGCTATCATAAATAGTGCTATGATGAACATGGGTGTGCATATATCTGTTCTTGTCCTGGCTCTCACTTCTTTAGGATATACATCTAGTAGTGTGATTGCTGGACAAATGGTATTTCTAATTTCAACTTTTTAAGGAATCACCATACTGCTTTCCACAGTGATTATATCATTTTACAGTCCCACCAGCAGTGTTTGAGAGTCCCAATCTGCCCACATCCTAGCCTGCATTTGTTATTTTCTGTCTCATTGAACTTTGCTATTAGTGCTGGGGCCAGATGATATCTCTCATTGTTTTGATTTGCATATTTCTGATGGCTAGTGATTGTGAACATTCCTTCATGTGTTTGTTGGCCGCCCAAATATCCTCTTTGGTGAAGTGTCTATTCATGTTTTCTGCTCACTTTTAAATTGGATTATTTGTCTTTTTGTTGTTGAGGTGTTGGAGTTTTCTACAAATTTTAGAAACAGGTCCCATGTCAGATATGTCATTGCTGAATATTTTTTCCCAATCTGTAGGCTCTCATTTTACTCTTGGAGAAGTCTTTTGAAGCACATAAAATTTTAATTTTTAGAAGGTTCCATTCATCTATTTTATCTTCTGTTGTTTGTGCATTTTGGGTTATGCTTGACTGTATTTATGCCACCAATTAGGGCCCTTAAATTTGCCCCTAGTTTTTCCTTGAAGAACTTTATAGTTTTAGGTTTCAATTTTAAGTCTTTGATCCATCAAGGTTACTTTTGTGTATGATGTAATATGGTATGAGATATGTATCTTGTTTCATTTTTCTGCAAATTGATATCCAGTTTTGTCAGCACCACTTGCTAAAGAGACAATCTCTTCCCCATTTAATAGATTTCAGCCCTTTGTCAAAAATCAGCTGACCATAGGTCAGTGGATCTATTTCTGGGTTCTGAATTCTATTCCACTAGTCTATGTGTATGTCATTGTGACAATACCAGGCCGTTTCAACTACTGTGGCTGTATAGTAAGTTTTGAGATCCAGGAGTTTGAGATCTCCTACTTTGTTCTTCTTCAGTAGTGCTTTGCTTATCCAAAGTGTCTTTCCTTTCCATATAAAATTAGTGATTGTTTTTTCCATATCCTTAAAGAATGTTGATGGGATATGGATTATGATTTCATCAAAGGTATAGATTACTTTGGGTAATGTTTCCCAATGTTCAATCTTCCTATCCACGAGCATGGTGTGTTCTTCCATTTATGTAGATCTCTTATGGTTTCTTGAAGTAGTGTTTTGTAGTTTTCTTTGTACAGGTCTTTTTGTGCCCTTAATGAGATTTATTCCCAAGTATTTTATTTTATTTTTTATTTTTTTTGGTGTTGTTGTTGTTGTTGTTTGCCGTCGAGTCGGCCCCGACTCATAGCGACCCCTCCTTGGGTTTCCGAGGCAGTATCACTACGGAAGTAGGA